AACTTCGGTGTCAGGCGGGATGAGGAGTGAGGAGAACCCATGACTAAAGATCATTACGAATGGGTTAAGTTAGATCAACCATATATCAAGTGGGTTTGACTGTGACACTATGTCTTAACATAAAACCTTAAGATATATTGGATCCATGAATCCTCTCACTTATATAAATTTTACAACCTATTATTAACTAATGTGAGATTTCATTATACTTGAATATACCAACACTCGGTGCTTACCAAAAATATAAAAATAAAAATAATAATTTCAGTCGGGTCACACTAAGTAATGTGCCAATGAATTGAATTTTAATTGCAGCACAAACACTGCTAAAAGAATAGAATATCAAATTAGGGTAGTGGATCTACACAGCATGCAAATATGTGACTGAAATTTGGTTCAGAAATTAGTGCTGATGATTCAATTACTCTTTCATATATGGACCCCATATTAGATACTGTTTATAATCTGCAATGTTTAAAATTAATCGAGGTTTGACCTGCGAAGAACATGCTAAAGCTACAATATATCACAATGCGCATGACAAGATTAGGCGCTTTTAGTGTTAAAGAAACTACATTATAATATTTAGAGTAGGACGAATGATTGAGGTATTAGTTCATGAGATTCACTCAATACTTTTCTCCCTATTTGTCATATATTGTTGTCCTTTAGTGTGTCTGCATATATTGTGAGAATATAATTAAGCCTATCAATATCTTTTTTTTTTTGTGTGGTAATATAGAGGGGCTAGAAACACCCCAAACTATCAATATCTTTCAACTAACAAACAATTGATCATACTCGTATATGTTACTTAGCTAAAAGAAGAAAAATTACTTCTACATGGTATTGCATATAATTACCCAGACAATCTAACTGCAGAGAGACTGAATGTGCATATATTTGAAGCAACTTAGTATGAAGGTGGGATGTGATGTAGTTAAATTAAGTTTTAGCATAAATTCTTATAATGAAAAAGGCCAAAGTCTTGGGGTAGCTGTAAGTTTGTCTTTATATTAACAAAAGTCAATTTGAAACCTTTGGAGTTGGTAATTAAGTATAGGACTGTCTTATCTCTTCTGTCTGTCTGTATTGTAAAAGTAGTATTATCTTATCAATAAAGAGAAAGCGAAAAAGATAAAAGAGGAAGAATACTTGCTTCTATAATAAAGCAATCCTTTATTCTGGTTCCTTACATATTTGATTACAGCCTTTTTTTATAGTGTGATCACTGTGATGTTGATCTGTATTGAATTTCTTAAATTTCGGAAATCCTAATTTTTGTACTGAATTCTTCTTCTCACTGACATTTGTGAACGCATAATTTCTAATCGTTATGAATTGCTTAGATTGAAAACAATTTATGTCATATATATATATATGGCTTTAATGTTTCTGCAGTGAATATAAATAAGTTATCTACATTCGCTTCCAAAACGACGACGTTTTAGATTGAAAAATTAAAAAGTTAAAATAAAGAAGACTATTATAACCCTGAAATAAATTATAATTACAAAAATACCTTGATTTCCGCTTCAAAATGATGTTGTTTTGGGCTCAATGTAGATAAGTTATCTACATTGACTATAGAAAAAGCGAACCCATGTACAGGAGATGGATATTTTGACTACAGTGTAAGACTTATAAGTCTTACTCTCCATCTTAACCGTTGGTTTTCGCCCATCAAACGGTTATAGTTTAGGAAATCATACTAATAATTAATTATTAATTACACTACAAATGACAATCGTTGATTTCCGCCCATCTGACGGTTAACGGTTATTATTTATTTGAAATTAATAATTAATTAATTGATATAGATAACCGTTATATAGACGAAAATTAACAGTTGAGATGAGGAGTAAGACATACATACTTATATATATGTCTTACTCTAGAGTCAAAAGATCCCTCACACACACACATATGAGATAGATCAACTTAAATCAGTGTAACATATATATATATTATATATATGGGGCATGATATTCTTACACTGGTGTAAGACTAAGAAATCTTACACCAAATCTTGTCCATTGATCTACTTTCATCTAGCAGCTCAAATATCTAATAAATCAGAACCGTTAGATATAAGTGGGATCAACAGCCAAGATTAAGAGTGTAACTTACACTGGGGTAAAATGATCCTGACTATATATATATATATATATATATATATATATATATATATATATATATATATATATATATATATATATGAGATATGATCAACTTATACCAGTGTAAGAATAATAAATCTTACATCAAATCTTAACCGTTGATTTTTGTGCATATAATGCTTGTAGTTTATTGGATTATATTTATTAATTAATTATAAATTCTCAATAAATTATAATTGTTAGACATATGAGAATTAACAATTAAGATTAATAATTCCTATACACCGGTATAAGTTGATCCTGCCTATATATATATATATGGAAAAAAATGTTTGTGCTTTTGCAGTAAATTTTTTTTTATAAAACACTCAGAAAAATGAGTGGGTCCCGTATTAAAAGAGATGAAAGAGAAAAGATTAGCGTGATCCACTCACTTTTACATGAATGACGATAAGAAACTTTTTGCAACAAAAGTAGAAATATTAAACCCCCTCACACACACATATATATGGGTTTACATTTTGCAACTGCTGTACGTGTAGCAGTCAAATATTTGCCATATATATACGTGAAATCATTAAATGTGGGAAATCATAATCATACACTGTCATTGTTGTACATAAAGCGACTGTAAAAATGATTTTACCATATATATATATATATATATATATATATATATATATATATATATATATAGGGGAAACTTTTTCTCATGTTGCATGAGAATTCAACTCTCATGTTAGTGACCCTTCGATTTGCGTGCAAAATTTTTCTTTCTTTTTTCTTTTTTTAATAAATATGGGGCCCACCACTAGTTGAGTCACAACATGAAAATTGAATTTTCATGCAACATGAGAAAATCAAATCCCATATATATATATATATATATATATATATATATATATGAGGGTTATATTTACAAACTTTTTGTTTACAAACTCTTACAAACTACACTATGTACTCCCGGAAGTATACTAGGTTACACTATGTACTTCTAGGAGTACATAGTGTAATTTGTAGAAACACACACACACAATTATATATATATATGGACTTATCGTTTCTCAAGCTGCTTGAGATAATTTTATTTCCGGCTACTAAATCGTAACCGTACAAAGATAGATCAATGGTGATAAAGAAAGAGAGAGAAAAAAAGAATCATAACCATTCAAAGGTGAATCAATTAATATAAGGAAATAAATAAACAAAACGACGTATTTTTGGGGTGGCCGAAGATAAACTTATCTCAAGTTGCCGGATAAATATTTTTTCCTATATATATATTTGTGTGTATATATATATATATACATATATATATATATATATATATATATATATGGGTTTACATTTCTGCAGCTGTTGTACATGCAGCAATCAAATACTTGCCATATTATACTTGAAAGCATTAAATGCGGAGAATCATAACCATACAAAGGATGAAAGCATTAAATGTGGAGAATCATAACCATACACCTGTTGTTGCTGTATGTAAAGCGGTTGCAGAAATAATTTTACCCCATATATATATATATATATATATATATATACTGGGGAGTACTCAGGGGAGGATCACTCCGTATCTTAGTCATTAATTTCTATCCATTTATTGGACGTATATAGTTTATTAAGTTATATATATATATTAATTAACTATTAATTTTAAATAAATTACAACTAGGTGTGTAAATAGGACAGATGGCCTAACGGGGGCCTACGACCTAGAATAGATCAGGCCAAACTCGACCTATTACATATAACTAAATATTCTAAAAAAAGCTATTTAGAAAGTAGGCCATAGACTTTCTTTTACATGTTAGGCATGTAAAACTACAGGATGACCTATACTATATTATTTATTTTAAATAGAATAAATAAAATTATTATTTTATAATTTTAAATAATAAAGTAATATTCTCTTAATTATTGAATACCTAGCTAATAGGCTTAAACAAGCTAACAGGCCTAGGACAATGTTTTTGATTTTTAAATATAGGCCAGAGCAAACTTATATTTTGGGCCTACACAAGGCTAATAGACTAAGGCAGATCTAAAGTATTCTAATCAGACCTGGTCTATTTACACCCATAATTACAACCATCAGATGAACGAAAATCTATGTCGCCTGAAATTGAGAGTAAAACTTCTTAGTCTTATATCGGATATATATGGGAAAATTGAGTGTCCAGTTATTAGATATAAAGTTTTGTCCAGTCATCGCATTATAACTATGTATTTAAAGAAATATATAGTTATAATATTAAAGTTGTACTTTTTTTTGTCTATTTATAAACTTATCTAGTGACGTAAAAAGTGAAAAATGAACAATTTTAATATTATAACTATGTATTTCCTGGAGTACATAGTTATGATGTGGTGTCCGCGAACAAAACATTATATTTAGTAAATGGACACCCAATTTTTCATATATATATATATATATATATATATATATATATATATATATAGGAATTTATATTTCTGAAGCAGCTGCTGTACGTGCAGCAATCAAATACTTGCCATATATATATTTGAAAGCATTAAATGCGGAGAATCTTAACTATACAAAGATGAAAGCATTAAATGTGAAGAATCATAACCATACACCTGTCGTTGCTCTGTACGCAAAACAACTGCAGAAATGATTTTATCATATATATATATATATATATATTCTTTTTATTTCTTTCCCAATTTTTTTATGTTACCCCAGACAACTCAAATCAGTTCAGTTCAAATAATTGTTCATGTTGGGTCTCCTCAATATATATCAGAGAAGAACAGCTTTTAACATAAGATTCAACTATTTTATTTCGTGTATAAACATACATACATTACATATCACTTTCCATCTTTACAATTGGAAGGACTGAAAACGAAGCAAAATGATCAGGCCCCAAAAAGCTGCTTCAAGCAAAAGCTAGCCATATAACACATAACTCACATGCAATAGTACTGCTTAACCTTTGGTTCTGATAATAGTGATTGTGCCTCTTCCTTGTGTGTGAATTCTAGTAAGGGCCACCACTGCTTTCCCTGAAAGTCCAGGACCTTCTGCGGACACGCATGGCCGACATGCAAAGTCCCCAACTGGATGCTTCACTGGCCTTGTTGGTGCCATTAAAATCCTCTCGTTTATGTCATTCAATGTCACATCACCTTCTCTCCCTCCTGGTTTCACCAATGCAAATGGATATACCACTCTTGTTATTACCTTCTTCTTTCTTTTCTCATCATCACTTCCTGCTCATTATTATAACACCACACATGAACCCGCATATATATGTTAGTTAACATATTATGATCATTGTTTATTAAATATATATATATAAAGAAAATACAGGAATGGTACAGAGAGAAATAGAGGGTTGTATATATATACCATCTGGGAAAACTCTGGTTTTTGAAGTCACTGGTTCTTTGTATGAAGATGAGGATGAATTTGGAGATTCAGAGGTTGATATTGTCTCTTCTTGTGTTTTAGTTTCTGATTGAAGAATGTTTGGTTCCTCGCTGATTCTACTCTTGAATGTGCTTATATGCTCATCTAAAATATAAATGAAAAAGAGAAAAAGAAAAGGTAGCAGCACAATCAACATTAATTATCAATATAATTCCCCTTCATTTTCTTTTCTTTACTTTTTCTTTGGGATCCTTTTTCTCAATAAATTAATTACAAAGGTAACAAGTATACTCTTTTTTGTTTTGATTGCAATTAAAGCATTTTGAACCAAATTGATCATCATTTAAATGAATGCATGTAACAAGCAGTTACATAATAACATACATAAAACACAGTTTTATAGACTAAAGTGCAGAAAAAAATTACCTGAAAATCCACAAATCCTTTCTATCTGGTTCATGCAGTAGAAGTTCTCTTCTGGTTGGTGCCATGTGGGGTTGAAATTCCATAAACTCTGAAGATATAATATTAAGTCTCATTACAAGAGAACAAGAAGGATTTCAAAACTGATAAAGTGAAACTATATTCAGATAGTATATAAAGTTCTACCTTCTCAAAATCATCAATGAAACTTAAGCTTTGTTCATCAGTATATGGCAGCAAGCGTCTACGTTTGGAACGCTCACCGAATTCAATCAAAGCATCCTCAAGATACCCAGTTGAGAAATCAGATTGTTGATGTGAGAATGATGGTTCACTTCCATCCATAGCTGGAACTGCAAATAGAATATCAACAATCATTGAAACACTATATAAGCATTATTTTCAATATCGAAGGAGCATTATTATAGATAGAAATATAAAGAGAAAGAAAAGTATAATGTACTTAAAGACATTTTGTCCGCGTTGAGTACTCCAAGGTTGTGATAATCCCAACCTAGGGAAGAACCATAGAGGCAACTAGGTAAAGCTAGGGAATGAAGCTCACTCATCTTGTGTTAAAGGGTGTGTATACTACAGTGTGCCTTGGTGCCTACAAAAAATGATGGGGAAGGGGTCTATTTATGTACAAGTTGTGGAAGGGAACATAAAAGCATGGAGACTTGGATGAGTTTAAGAAACAGTAGTATGAGTCAGTCAACAACCAAGGCCAAGAAGAAAAAAAGTGGATGTTTTGTTTCTTGGGATTCTGAAAATGTGTTCACTTTTGTTTTTTTGAAATTCATTTCCTTTGTTATATATGTGGGGGACTAAATAATTGCAATGGTTATCATATTGTGCTTGTGCTCTTAGATGTAAAAGCAAGGGTACTGAGGAAAAGACATGTCCCCAAAGAAACATAATTCAAATTTCAGCTTTTCCTTTTGTGGTTTTTCGTCCTTAACCCTTGTATGTTATGGTATGGTATGGTTACCAACCGTTTCTCTAATGGGGTCCATTAAATTTTTTTTTTTTTTCTTCTTGCACATTCTCTCACCCAATGTGGGTGTCATATCAGTAATATCTTCCACCACAAAGGAAAATAATCTTTGACAGGTGTCATATATAATAAAGGGGTCCCACCAGATGGCATGCTGTTGAGGGGTCCATGTTTTTAAAAGATGAGTAGAAGAAGATGAAATAAATCATGGGTTTGGTGTTAGGGACCACCTTTTTTGATCCTAGGGTTTGAATGGTTCAATTGTGTGGAATTTTGTTTCTCATTGGCATTGTAGTTTGTGTGGATATTGATTGATGCACTCACTCAATCTAACGGCAGTCAAAAGTGGCCAAGTTTGTGTGGTTCCTTCACGAGTCAAAATTGATTAAGTTTTAAATTAGGCTTTTTATTTAACAACTTTTCTGATATGATTAGTTTTTAATATATTTGAATTCGTATATTTGATGTATAAAATGAAATTGGAGTTCAAGCAAGAACGTCATATCTAAACACCTACTTAGCTTATGAACTTGAGGATTAGAAGTGCAAGACAGGTACATAATTAGAAGCATGATGTTCATATGAGTCAAATAATGAAAGATGGAGGAAATTTGAATTCATTGAAGTTTCAAAATTAAAGTGCAATTTCCATATACATTCCCTGCAACAAATTTCTGAGCACTATATCAACTTGCGTATTAGATGAAACAGGCAAACAATCATGATGTCGAAAAATTTAGTACTTCAGTTCAGGCATTCATGGGAATGGGAGATTTAGCTAATTGAACTCAGAGCATTGAATCGAATTTTAATCATAGCATGGGAATTTTTAATTTCTTACTATTCATAGGAAAAATAATAATAAAGGAATAATTTCTTTTATAAACGAATCTTCCCATTTTCTTTAAAAATGTTAATTTCTTATCATGCATACCAAAAAGAGACACAAACTACGCTTATAAAGCCCTAAAAAGTATACACCGAATGCTAGCTAGGACTTTGACGAATTAGTAATCATCATCATCTCATTTTTTAAACATTTTCTTTTTAGCAAAACTCCTTTAATAATTGGCATATGTATAATTAAATCTCAATTTAATTTTTCTTTAACAAAGAAAGTTTATGACTAATATGGAGAGAGGAATGATATTGATAGGTCAAAGTGCAAATCTAAGGACCTAGCTATTGATCCCAAAATTAAATAATTAAAAAAGATGGTACCAAATGAAGTATCGGCTATCGCTATTTTTAATCTCATGAGTTACTTTGTATTAATACAGAATGACTATTTTTGGAGATTTTATAAAGCCATCAATCAATGGGGCATTAAAATTCAGGTTTTAAGTTGGTAGAAGTTGATGGTTTTTCCTTGTGGCAGGTATAACTAATATTGATTTCCCTCAAGGCTCTTGTGCAAAATTTGTGAAAGTTGGGTTTCTTTCACCAATTAAAGGGGAACCACACGAGAGCTACTTTGGGTTTCATCCTGCTTCAATCGAATAGCCCCAAATTGTTTTTAAATCTCCAAACGGTGTTGATTGAACTTTTTGTTGAGGTTTACTCGATGGGGAAGAAAGGTTTTCCTTTAATATTTAGATATCTTGCTACAATCTTGTACAGTAAAAACCTCGAAAAATTTGCAAAAGAAGAAATGTATATAAACTCCTTAAACTTTACCTAAGACTTGCACGTGTTTCTTATAGATGTGATAACATATCACTTATCGACATTTTTTAATTAATTTTTCTTTAATTACTTGATCTGTTTTTGACAAATAAATTAATTTTTAATTTAAAATAATATAAATAAATAAATACTGCCAAGCATTGTGCATTTGCAAGAGACTTTTATTATTCAAAAAATATATTTAGAGAGAGAGAGAGAGAGAGAGAGATGCTAACAGGTTTTGCCTGCAATTTTAAAGCTGAATTTTAAATAAAGCAACAATCCACACTCCACAGCACAGGATACACTATTACACTGTTAAAAACAACACAAAAGAGCCCCATTTGATTCCTGAGTTCTAAACATTGGTGTCGGCTTGAACTCACTGTAATTTGCGCAAAATCTAGGAAGAATTCCTTTCCCTGATTGCCTCCATCCACCTGCAACAATACCTACAATGAATTAATGTTGTAAATTACGTCATAATCAAATTAGACAAAGTGGTGAACCTTCCATGTATAATTGACGTAAACAAGTAAGTGAACACTAATTAAATTCAAAGAATGTGAGGAAACCAATAACAATAAAGAACAAATAGATAGTTTCTACAAAGTAACAAGCATATTTTAAAATTCCAAGAAAATGATTACAAAAAAGGGGTTGATAAGTGGGGAAAACTTATTTAAAAAAGAAAAACCCGAAAACTTCCCATTTGAATTGACTATTTTATACTCACTAAGCCAACTACTTAACATAAGGGTTACTCCCTTTTTTCTCTTTTCTTTTTTTATGTACTCCAATTCTAGATCATCTTATAGATCAAAAGCTCTTCCTAGTCTTCATTCATTCCCTTGTTACGGTTATTAAACATTGTGAATTATCTGTCACTTAAGACATAACTTGAGCAGAGACTCAAGACTAATAGTTTGGCAGTAATTCAATAACATCATCAAGACATGTTCAAACCAGAAAGAAATTATAATAACACAAAATTAAATTTCAGAGTATCCATATGGACAAAAAGACTAGCCATTTTTTTCTAACTTGGTAACCAATTCATATCTTATGTAACTATTGAAGATATTTTTTATCTACTAACAAAATCACACATCAGAAGGCTTTAGAACATAAAAAACAGGTTCAGTCTCCAAAAATAAGTTCTACAGTTGTAACAGTTCGACCGATGTTTTCTACAAGAAAACCAAACAACTACTCACTTGACAACATAACGCAAAAAGTTTACAGGCAAACTAATATATATTTGGAAATTGTAGGGCAATGAAATCCATGAGCAAATGCAAATATAGAATCGTGTAAGCAACCGAAAGATGTTGCCAAAAGAACAAATTGGATAAAAGTAATCTAAACATTTAGAGGAATGCAGGATACTTACAAAAGTGGCATCCTAGCTGCTCAGTCCTCCATGGGAGCTCCATCTTGCCCTTTATCAACATCAAAATCATCGTCTCTCTTCAATTTGCCACAGACATTACATTCCATGACATTAGATGGAGTATCACCCTGTGGGGGTAGAGGAGCTAAAGTTCCCCAGCAATTTGTTCTATCACACATGTATTTTAAAAAGAAATAAGCATGCGGGAAATCATTATTATCTCCATGAGTATTATAGTCAGTGTCTGATGCTGCCATAATTTCATTTTGGTCCTCATCCATAACCTCCTCTTCTTCTTCCTCAGCATTATCTTCGACACTGTCATTATCTGACCAATTTGATTCGACATTACATCGATCACAATTACAGGTGAAACCATAGTCTTCTATCAATCTCTTTTGTCTACTAGAATAGTTTTCATTCACAGGGAAATAACTCAAACAGATCTCCCTGCCTTGGGGAACATCATGAATCATCCTAATAATAATGTCAGTATTATGGCTGTCATCAGGTTGATTAGTGTCAACATAATCAAATCTGCAGGCATTGGGAAGGCAATCATGGTTAAAAAAGGACGCGTAGGGGTAAATACCATAAGCTCTGACAGACCTCTGGTCATCATCTACAGAGAAGGGCTGCATTATGCCAAAGGCATTGAACTTATCCTTGGCCAGAAGTGCAGAAGTAAGTTCCAAAGAAACTCCATTCTGGGGGCTAATGAGAGCAAATGAGCAGAGGGATGAAATAAGGGGGTGTAGGAACTGAGCTGCAGCAATGGTGGCATCATCAGGAGAACCCTGAAGAGAAAGCATAATTTGGAATGCTGAGGGGGAAATATAAGCAAGATTGTAGGCAGCAATGAGAAAACGAGCTTGGATTTGGCGCTCGTAGGGCTGTTCAAGCAGTAGAGAGTTGGATTGGAGACGAGTTAATGCTTGACAAACCCAAGAAGAATGGGAGGAGTTCATTGCCTTTGATAGACAACTGGAACTGCAAAAGCGATGGTGGCAACAAGAAGGGCATAAAACAGCAGATGATAAAGAATCTCCCTGTAAAGATGGTGGCAAGGTTCTGAAGCAGTGGTCACAGAAGCAGCAGGCTGAGGCAGAGGAGGACGATGACAAAGACCGTGTGATAAAGGGCAATGCAGAATACAGCAGGATGGGAGAGTCTCTGAGGACAATTTGGCCAGCTTTAAGAGGCTGCGATGCAACCATTCCCCTCCCTCTTCCTTGTATTTCCTCCACCTTCAAAAGGGAACTTGGAGCACCCATTAAATTTTTTAAGTATTTTCCAATTACTGATTCCCAAAGTTATATAGGTAACCTTGGGAAGGTTACACTTTCTTCGAATTTCAACAGAATCTCTGACACTAAGAAGTGTTTTGTCTCTATAATATTTTCTCGCTGGACATTACTGAGATTAAAAGGCAGCCTGAAGAGATTAGCCTTTCAGGTTTTGTACACACTGTACAACAAGCACTCCTTTTACCTATTCTCCGAGTAATTCAAAGAAGTCAAAATAGCTGCAAGCTGAACAAAAAAAAAAGGTGATGAGGATTATAGAGTGAGTAATCACTCTTATGAAAGCATTATGGTAAATTTGCAATAGCATATAGATAAGTACTTTTCTTGGTTTGTCTTTTCTTTTCAATAAAGATCCAAGAAAGGGTCTATAGTGCAAATAAGTCATAACACCCAATTTGAGTCAGTAGACCACATTAAAGTGCCCAAAGCTGAATAGCTTATTATTAAAGAAGTAATGTTTGAAGGCTAGGCTTCCATAATCACAAACGAACTGCATTTGGTCATGACAATAAAATCAACTAAACATTTTAATTTATCCAATTACACGAGAGATTTCTTTTTCTACTGATACCCTTGTAAGTGGATAAGTTCCAATTGGTCTAAGGTTCAGTATAGTTTTTTTTAAGACTAACTTAACATCATAAGAATTCTATACTTCTAGTACTTCATCTCTATCACAAAGTGACCCAGATGAAATGAATGCCAAGTTTGGTAGAAGCATTTATAGAGAAGAAGCCAAAAAGGAAAATTTGGATGTTATTCTCAATTCAGCTACAGGAGATGATAATTTTACAGCTGGATTCTTTAGATTATATTGGGACTTCATAAGCGAGGATATTATCTAGTAATAAGAAAGAACTTTGCTACAGGATTCTCGTTACCTAAGCTTAACCATGCGGTGATTTCTCTGATGCCAAAAGTCTCAACCAGAAAACCGAACATAAGATGCAATTCAGACCAAACAACTTTTGTTCAGTGATTTATTAAATTATATCAACAGCTCTAGTTCATCAGATACAGACAATCATGCCTAAATAATAAGTCCTAATCAAAGTGCTTTCAAAAGATGTAGGCTCATAAGTGATAATATTCTTGTAGCTCAAGAACACATGCATTATTTAAAAAATAAAAGGAGGGGCAAATGGCAGTTAAATTGGACATGAGCAAGGTGTATGACATGATAGAATGTTCATTTCTTTTGAGGTCATGAGGAAACTTGGTTTCTCACAAAAATGGAAATTCTGGTTTCCACTGTTATTACTCTTTTATATCGTTAGGGTATACATTTTGGTTATTTCAAGGCAGCAGGAAAGATATGACAAGGTGCTCCACTCTCACCTTTTCTATTCATCTTATACTCTTGAGTTTCCCTAATTTTTCAGTAAATGGGGTCATAGTGAAAATTATATGATGTAAGAGTAAAACGCAGGTATCTATGATATCACATCTTCTATTTGCAAAATAATGCAGATGGTTCTATTATTTTCTGTAATGCTGCGGAGAAGGAATGTGTTCACCTGCTAAGCCTAGTCGAAACTTATGAAGCTATGAGTGGGCAGAAGATCAAGTTGTATAATTCAGCTTTGTTTTTCAGTAAAAAAACACCCCCAAAGATGAAGGCTTCTATAGATGCCAAAATTTATATTTGTAACATTGGGGAACGGGAAAAATACCTTCGTTTCCCATCTATTGTAAAAAAATCAGAGGTCTACCTTTCTGACTGTAAAGCAAAGTTGGAGGGGTGAATAGCAAGTTGGGATGAAAACCTACTACGAACGCTTAGGAAAAGTGGTGCCTCCCAAATCTGACCCAACTGCTATTCCTTTACACTCTAGCCAGTTTCAAATTACCTGCCACTGTCTGTGATGACATTCATAGGTCTGTAATATTTTAAATCAATTTTTTTATTATTTTTTTAAAGTTCATTGGTTATCACTTATCATAGAAACATTTATGGGTGGACAAAGAGGATAGAGGGATGGGGCTTAAGGATTATCTGCTTATAATCTAGCCATGCGAGTTAAGCAGGGCTGGTGGCTGCTACTGCCAAACAGGTAATTATTCTATCATTTATTCTAGGGTATCTATTTTGCCAACTCTTCTTTTCTAGTGACCTCAATGCCTAGCAATAATGTCAGGTGGAAAGTAGGATAAGTAGGATAACAATCTCAGATCAGCATTAAAACTGACCAATCTATTACTGATCTCCCACATTACAAGCCAAGCCACCACATCTTCCCCAAGAAGATAAACTTGATCTCTTGGTTCCTCAATTGTTTGATCCGAACCAACTCTGTTGGAATACAACCCTAGTACAGTAAAGTTTTAATACAATGAAATTGGGATTCAAGCAGAAACAGGTTTTTCAATTTGTGCAAACATTTGCCAACTCCAAATAGGAAAAAAGGTTGTCAAAAAATTTTCAGTTAGAAAACTAGATATACCTCCAAGGATTTTTTATTTTTATTTTTTGTTCTCATAAATTGAATATCTTTTATGCCATTCTTCCTACCCATGGTAATGTTTGTAAAAGGAAAGTGAAGGTGAAGGTGAATGTGAATGTGTGATACGGGCAACGTGCTAGAATGAATGAGGAGTCTGCAATTCAATCTTACCCGTCAAAATCTTCAAGCTTTCTTGCTCTTGAATACCCTGGCCAGCACAGTTAAACAACCAACATACAGTGGTTCAAGTCTGTGACAAAAGAAACTGCACATAAAATCAAAACATGAGCCAAACAAACAAACAATTACTATTATTATTATTATTATTGATATTATCATTTTTCCACTCACCCAATTCAACAAGCAGTTGGAACGCAGTTTTGTTAATTAGCCATTAATTAAACACTGAGAGAGAGAGAGAGAGAGAGAGAGAGAGAGAGAGAGAGAGATGTTGCTGCGGAACAAGTTGACGTTGCCGCCATCATTCGGCGAGGGTTTTTGTTGTAGAGTGGGTCGGGCCATTTGGGCCTCCAAATGTCTCATTAAGTCCAAGTGAAAATAGGCCGATGACAATGACCACAAGCCTAATCTCTTGTTCGCTAAAAGCCTTGTTGGACATCGTACATGGGTCAGTAGCCTCTTACTCTCTTAGGTTATAATTCAAAATTCTGAAAAAAAAAACAAATAACACTCGAACAACATCCACAATGTTTTAACTACCAATCCGAATAAAGTTAAAGATGTTAGGGACAACGATTGCAAGTAGATAATATTATTATAATAATAATTAGGATTTAAATAACACAAATATTATTATTATTTTAAATTGATATTTAATTTATTAAATTAAATAATAATTAACACAATAAATGATATTTTAGGTAAATTCAAGAATGGCAAATATATTGTACAATTTGATAATTAATTTTTCTTTTCCATTGTATTTCCCGTATTCATCCCAAATAATTCAATATTTAATAAAGTTTTAGAATTTTAAGTGACCGAGAATTTCGTCTAATTAAACATAAACTTCTCTTTTCTTACACTTAGGAACTACTGAAAATTAGGAGTGTAAATGGGTCAGGCTGGCCTGACCTAGCCTACAGCCCAGCCTATGTTGAGCTTGGCCTAGCCCGACCTACGTTGAAAAGTAGAATAGACTTATGCTTATAAGAAAGTTTTTTTAACAAATAGGTTGTAGGCCAATTTTGTCAAGCCTGACCTAGAGCCTTGTAGGCTGGCCTATTTAATTTTTTTTTTAAAAAACAATATATTTATTTTAGGTGGCAATTAGTACCGACCCTTGTCTTGATGGTGATTTAAAGATATTTCAATGATATTCTCTTGTAGACTTTATTTCAGCTTTGGTTGACCTAGTAATTGTATTTTTTTTATTTTCCCCGTTTCTTTGACTCTATTCCTCTCTGATATACATTATAGAGCTGAGGTATTATGTTGACTCTTTCTTGTTTGTCATTTTTTATTCTTATGAGAAGTACTAGTGCATGCATGAATGGAACTTTGCTTAGTATATGTTTTTAGTTATTTTTTTTACTATTGTAAAAATTTTAATGCTCACTAGTGAAATTTATATCTCGTGTAAAAAAAATGCAGCAATTTATGAACACGTTAATGACTTATAATGTCAAGCGAATATTTTAAAAATTGTTAAAAATATTTTAAAAAAATATATCACGAGGAAGGCCTACAAGGCCTGTAAGCCATAGCAGGCTCTCTAATTTGTAAAAATAGGTCAGGTTTGGCCTATAAATAAAGCCTTTAGTAGGCCAAATAGGCTGAATATTTTTTTACATAAGCTTAGATCAGGAAGGCCAAAACCCAGCCCACCCCATTTACACCCCTACTGAAAATAAAAACAATGACAATGGATATTGCCTTATTGATAAAAATAAATAAATCAGAATCATAGCATAACAAGTATAATGTTTTACTAATAATTTTACCATTAAATTAATAATGGAGTATTTATTGTATTACTCACCCAACAAAATAAAAACATTAATTATCAAATTATTATTATTGACAATAAATTTGATATTTTTTAATTTATAAGGATTCCAAAATTATGTCAGATAAAGAAAAATTATTTATAACGTTAATTATTATTTAATTTAATGAATTTAATTCCAATAGAAACAAGAAATAGCGTTGATATGTTGTCAAGTAATGTTGAGGAGAGAGGAAAAAAATAATGATTGTTAGTGATAGAATATACGTAGGGAAATGTTAGTCTCGAGCATAGGAAGGAGAATAATTCTCGGGTTCGCTTTTTGTCACGTGACATGACTAGAGCACTTTACTGTACACATAAATCAAGTGTGGGTTCCACGCTTAAAAAAAAAAGTCAGACCAAAATCAGGATACGACGCCGTATTCTTAAGATATGAAAGCAGATTCTTGTTGCAGAAATGAACAGTGCCATTCCTGAAACATGATTATTATATTTCCCATAAATATATCATTTTGAATGACGATAGTACTCACTGAAATACTAAAAATGCTCTCATGCTTTGTGTCACACTAAGCTCATAATTTATTTCAGTTTCATTAAATTAGTAATTAAGTTACGATGTCATAGATTAGGAATTTATTTATTTATTTTTTATTTTGACCAACAAGGCCAAAAGTTCCTCATATATATCGAGAGATAAAGAAGATCAAGATAAATGAAATATGAACTCCTAGAAAAATATAAAATGTCACCAATTTTTCTTTTTATTCATCGTAGGAAAGCAGTCCTTACATAAAACTTAGAACATTAACAGCTAAATGAATTACAATTATAATATAATACATCATCATTATGTATAATGATTACATTTTTATTAAGCACACCAAAGATCATAACCATAAACCCTCACAAATAACATCCATAAGATCCAATCAAGATGACCACCACATATAAAATATGCATGCTTCATAACAGTAAAATAATTTTTAAAAACCCAAAAATAAAAAAATCAAACAGGCAGAAAGGTTTGGTAATCTTTCTAAAAACATTATGGTGCAAAAAGAACAAAAAAAATCATTTGAGAAATATGCTTGCAGTCACGAACCATGCCCTTGAGGAAAAATCCTATAATGAGCCTTCTTTTGTTTGTACCTTGTAGCACAAACAATGTACACCAACATATTCAAGAAACTGAGTACAGCTAGAAGCCAGAAGTAGTAGTCAACATGGCTCTTGTTCAAATTATCTTTTATCCATCCAGAATTACCATCCTTGGTTGTGAGGCTATCAACAATAGTGAGAATCAAAGTGCTCAGGTAATTCCCCAATGAATTTGTTAGAAGTGCCAAAGCACTGCAGAAACTACGCATGGAATTTGGTGCTTGATCATAGAAAAACTCATGTTGTCCAACAAATGTGAATACCTCTGCAGCACCAATCAAGAAATATTGAGGTATCTGCCATAATACACTTAGTGGTACAGGAACCTTTTTATCAACTAATCCAAGCTCTCTTGCCATTTTCAATCTCTTGCTCTCTAATATAGCAGCTGCTACCATGCAAATAATTGAGATAAATAGGCCAATTCCCATCCTTTGTAATTGTGAGAAGCCCCTCTCTTTGCCAGTGAATTTCCTTGCAATTGGAACAATCCCTCTATCATAAATAACAACCCAAATAATCACACCAATGAGATCAAAAGTTCGAAGAGAGGCTGCAGGAATGGTGAAAGAACCAATAGTTCTGTTCATCATCTTCCCTTGATCAACAAACAATGTAGACATTTGAGCATAAACAGCACAGAAGATGATTCCTGTTGCCCATATTGGAAACATGCGGATCAAAATCTTTAACTCTTCCACCTGTGTTACTGTGCAAAGCCTCCATGGACTAGTTACTTCATCACTCTCTTTTTCTGCATCTGATATCACTGCAGCTTTATCAAGGAACCTGGACAAAAGTAAAGCCTAACACAGTTTCTAAAAGGAAAAAATTGTACAACTGTAGAGAATTAAATTGTCATTTTTTTCCTGCAAAGTACAGAATCTAGAACACCTACGAGCATTGTTGTTAAAATCTCGATTTATCACTACGATTTTACGATTTTACGATTTTTTTTCATCAAAATGATTTTAGTAATATTCCAAACGCTTTTACGTTTTTACAATTTTTTACGATTTTTTTACATTACGATTTTACGTTTTATGATTTTTTAATTCCCTTCTGATTTTACTTAAGATCTCGATTTTAACAACATTGCCTACGAGCATAATTATTATGCCAGTATAATGAATGGAATTAGATTAATGAGAATCCTCAAAGCTATTATGTTGCCAAATCAGAAAAATTACTCTATCTTGTTTGTGTTAAAATGTTCCACAACTAGGACTACCATATATTGTTCCTCTAATGGAAGAAAAGTTTCTCTATTGACATATATTTTGGGATGCATACTAAGCAAATTAATACTATCTTAAGTATTGAGCAGAGGAACACAAGGACAGTATAATTTAATATTAACGCTTGTTTGAAGCTATGAGATACCTCAATCCATCGCTATGCTCTAGTTTAACACTTGCTTCATTGGAAGAATTGTTCACTGTTTTTTCATAGAGCAGATAACTGTCCTGGGGAACTTCCAATTTCCACTTACGTAAAGCAGAAGCAACCACTTGGCAAATTCTTGTAAGAGGACTTCCCACTGGCCTTTGAAGTCTATAGATAGGTGTACCCAGAAAGAAAACAATGATTCCAATACCAATGAATGCGGAAGCAATGCCATATCCTAGGCCCCATCCAACATTTTCTTCAGTCCATACCAATACAGTGGTTGCTATAAGTGCACCAATGTTACTGGTGAAGTAATTCCAATTAAAGAAGGATCCTTTACTTGCTCTTTCCTTATGATCAGTATCATCAAACTGATCTGCCCCAATTGGCCAAATACATGGCTTGATCCCACCAGTCCCTAGTGCAATCAAATAGAGTCCAAGGAAGAATACAGCTCTTTGAGTTGAAGTTGCTGATGGGCAGACAGCTTTCACACATTCCATTGGCTCCAATGCAGGAATGGATGCTGAAATAGTCAATATGCAGATTCCCTATACAAATAAACTATCATCTAAATATACAATAACAATATTAAAAGGCAGTGACAAATAAACAATTAGTGCAGATAACTAATGATATAAAACTGCAAGTTATGGAACTCAAAACATCGGCTCCCAAACAAAATATGTGAAATTCAACCTTAACTTGATCCATTGCATGTGAATAAACCATTATCAAATCATCTATACAAACTAGGAGACATGAAACAAAGTTTATTATGCATAGTTTTAGATCGCAAAAAATGCCAGCCTAGAGCAATGGTAAAATTGTTTCTCGGTGACCAATAGGTCACTCACTCGAATCTAGGAAAAGGTCTATTTGCAAAATTATAACTCAAGGTTTCACAAGGAGTGGTTCTATAATTTTGGATAATAAAGACATAATCCAATGTAGAAGACCTTCCACTGAAGAACAAATTCAGGATCTTGTGCAGGAGGACTTTGAGTGAAATTTTACAAGGAAGGATCAGCGGCTTCTCTCAACCCTTTTAATTCAAAATAATTGGAAGAGAAGGAGGATATTGGACTTGAACTAAAACATTGTGAGTAAAGTAAAACTGTATACTACAGAATACATGTGGACTTCAACTAGAGAATTGAGAAAATCATAGTTTCAATTGAGCTTACAATGAGATAAATTCCATAGAACACAGCAATTGTCCAATATCTTCCCCAGTAAGCATCAGCAAAGAAGGATCCAATGAGAGGGGTCAGATAGCTTGTTCCTTGAAAAGTGTTAACGTTTTTTGCAGCAGGAACAAGTCCTTCATGGAGTTTTGTGTTGAGATGAATGACAAGATTACTGGAAATCCCATAATATGCCAAACGTTCACAAAAGAAAGTACCTGAATCAAATATAGATTATGTCAAATTCAAAATATACTATTGGATACATTCCACTAGACCAACACTTAGAAAAGTTTATCACCTAGAATAAAGGGGCATGCTTTCCATGTCCCAGTTTTCTTCTTGACAGAAAGCTTTCCCTTGATGTTCACCGACCCATCTCCAGTGTGAACAGAGTCTTCACAGTTACACTGCAAAATATAAATAATAATAGTATAAAAAAATTAAAAATATGTCAAAGTAGCACATCATTTCTTTTATTTTTGTTCATATGACATACAACAAATGACATGATTAGATATGCTAAGGAGGAACCTGACTAAGACCATCTTCCACTGATCTTGGTTCCTCCAAATGTTCCATTCTTGTGCTCTACTGTCTCAACATGCCAAGAGATTTGAGAGATGGCAAATATAAAGGTTGATGTGGGGAAAAAAATTTAATCTCTCACGAGTGTCCATCATTATCAGCATTCTATTTTTATAACCATAAAATTCCTATGAGATTAGAAGTTGAAACCCACCATTCTGAAAACAATTTTGGCGTGATTAACAGCATTTAAGATAACGACCTAAACTGATTAAAAAAATGATTGCCAATTCCTAGAGCTAACATGTATGCTAAAATATTGATGGATACTGATTCTAAATTTTTGTTTAGTAGCTAAAGGCATTGTTGAAGATAGGAATTAGTTTTTGAAATATTGTTGTAATTAGATAGGATTAATTTGTTTAGATTGTTCAGATTTGTAAAGTTGTTAGCTATTATTAGGTAGAAGTTGTTATTGATACTTGTATAAGTATATACCTCAATTAAAGAGGTAAAAGTATGAATGAAAGAGTGAACAGTTCCCAAGATTAAAATTTTAACAGGCATGTTTAGAACCATATATATGCTTATAAGGCCTTATTCCCTTCACATTTGTTGTTGAGTTGTACTTGTTCACTTCCCAGTTGTGACCTCAAAACGTTTCGTATGTTAATTTTGCAATGGATGTCAACTCTTGCTTATAGTCAAATCTTGTAATTAATGGAAGTCACATTTGCAATGTATACAGGAGAATCGTATATACTCATTCTTCTAATAAAATAAAGAGAAGAATCTTTGATTTTGATTCATGGATATTGATTCTAAAAGGCATGTTTAGAAACGTGCTTATAAGGCCTTATTCCCTTCACATTTGTGGTTGAGAGTACACTTGGTATGTTAAATTTGCATTGGATGTAAGAGTCAACACTTGCTTATAGTTAATATCCTAAAATTAGGAGAATGAATAAATGAGGTTATTGAAGGCTTGTTTCACAGCATTTTGGACCATAAGGTTAGGTGTTCCTTTGTACCTGAGATAATGACTTAAAATGATTATATAATAATTCTTGCAAATTCCAGGAGCTAACGTGTATGCTAAAATATCAGTCCAACCATTTCAAGCTTATCAGTGATCCCGAAATTTTAGCATAGCTATTATGTGAAATTGGTCAGATAAACTTGCCACGCTCTCTAGAAAAACTACTTTAAACTGTATAGTGAGGGAATAGTGGAATACTTTTTAAGAATAGAAATGTTAAAAAAATAAAAAATAAAAACTTACAAAAAAATATATCAAATTATATATCAAATGCGAAAAATAATTTATTTTTTAATTAAAAAATAATTTATTTTTTAATTAAAAAATAATTTTGTCTGTTGATATGTCATTCAATTATTAACCAATATTTTGACATAACTAACTAATTCACCTTTAATAATGAGAATCCTAAACATTTGGATTAGAAGGATCAAGAAGAATCCCTAAGAAGGTAGATCGTAGTTTTTTTTGCTAGTCTAAAAACAAATTGTACTTTAATATTTTAATTAAAAATATTTTTTCTTTTAACTTATCATTCAATTATTAAGTAAATTTTTTAACATAACTAATTAATTTATTTTTAATGTTTGAGAATCCAAAATATTTGAATTAGAAGAATCAAGAAAATAATTTCTTGACTTTGATACAAGGATTTTTCAAATATATGTTTGTTATTTGTTACATTGTATTTATACCCTAAACCACATACTTTGTCACATGCAGAAGCAATTGATAATAATTTAATTAATGAAAGTTACATCACCCAAAAATGGATTAGGGACGGAATTCATCCGTATCTAAATTCTAAAGGACATAATTTTGCCCCTAAACAAATTAGGGATAGAATTTAGAGTGGAAAATATTCCCTCGCTAATAGTTTGCAATGAAAATATAATTTTGTCCCTATTTGGAACGGATTAAGTCTCTAATATACATTTTTTGTACCTAATCTGACCAACAAAAATGATTTGAAAGTCCCTAATGGGAAGATAAATAGGGAAGAATTTTTTCTGGTCTTTGTTGGGACAAAACTTATTTATCCTTACTAGGGATAAAGATATTCTGCCCCTAATTTCATCTCTAATTTTGATTTATTCATAAATTATTCAACAAAATAAATTTTCTTAAAAAAAATTTTACACTTGATGATCATCATTCATATAAATTATCAAAGTCACATAACCACTGGAAGTTAGTCCGAACCTAATAGTAATTATAATTATATAAACCATCATAATCATAAACATGTAAGCTAGAAGAAGTCTTAATAATAATAAATATTGTGAAAACAAAAATAACAACTAACAATTAATAAGTATTGTGAATATCAACTAATAAATCTATCAAATAGAAGTAAAAATTGCGAATTGTTTTTACGTGTTAGAGAAATATAATATATAAAGCATTGAAGGTTCATCACTTACAAACTTAAATTGTTGAGTTAAATTGGTTGCAACATCACGCATCAAACTTAAAGGACTCTTGTGTAAAAGGATATGTTAGAGAAATATAATATATAAATCATTGAAGGCTCATCACTTACAAACTTAAGCTTTTAGGTCAAAATTGTAACATCCCCAGCCTCGAGCCGGTTCAATTAACATGCATATGATACTTAACAGAAACAGCGGAAGACTTAACTTACGAAAATACGAACTAACTTTTTCTTTTTCTTTAATCATTTTTCACATGACATATCACATTGCATACTTCTTCTAATTTAATTCTTATTTTACGGAGACGAAAATCGGACAGAGTAACCTCTGTAAATCGGACAACTGGGGATTTTCCAATCCCACTCTCAAGAGTTCCTGATAGACAGTTTAAACAATATATATTTCCAGAAGTACCAGTCATGCAAATATACTCAGATACCCATCTATGGGCGCATGCTGAACTTGGCTCCGTGCCACAAATATAATAGCATGCAATCCAATACATAACATAACTGAATACTACATAGTCATATCATCATGCCTGAATACATAAATGTACATGTATCGAATATGAACACTATGCAACAATACATCTTCTCCAAAAATACGTCTAAAACAAATAGTAGCATCCGACCACCCAGAACTCCACATCCTTATACTAGTACCTCTAGCCACGGTTAGTGTCCTTGTCCCATGAGGCTGTTCAATTAACTGTGTTCCTGAAATCATATCCCCAAACGGGGTTAGAGACGAATCTCTAGTAAACTCCAGGTTTATGGAAAACCCTCCATACCCTGGGCTCACTTCCTGCATGACAGACAGAAACATAATATACAAAACATCATATAAGCAATTATCATAACTGAACAAAGCATATATACATATCTTATCAAAGACAAACGCAGTCATTCCCAAGGGATGACCCCAAGCGAAAATCAACGCACGTAACAAATATCTTTTACAAAAATCATCACAATACTCACATCAGAACAAAACGTGTTATATCAGAGACGTACGCAATCGTTCCCAAGGGATGACCCCAAGCGGAAATCAACGTACGTAACAAATATCTTTTACAAAAATCATCACAATACTCACATCAGAACAAAACGTGTTATATCAGAGACGTACGCAATCGTTCCCAAGGGATGGCCCCAAGCGGAAATCAACGTACGTAACAAATATCATTTACAAAATCATCATACATATCCCATAAAACATGTCATATAATCAAATATCATAACTAAACAAAACATATACACATATCTTATCAGAAACGTACGCAGATATTCCCAAGGGAGGACCCCAAGCGGAAATCAACGCACGTGTTCCCAAGGGAGGACCCCAAGCGGAACCAGAACATATCAGAGGCGTACACAGTCATTCCCAAGGGAGGACCCCAAGCGGAAATCATCGCACGTGTTCCCGAGGGAGGACCCCAAAGCGGAACCAGAACATATCAGAGGCGTACGCAGTCATTCCCAAGGGAGGACCCCAAGCGGAAATCAACGCACGTGTTCCCGAGGGAGGACCCCAAAGCGGAACCAGAACATATCAGAGGCGTACACCATCAGTCCCGAGGGAGGACCCCAAAGCGAACATCCGGGTACTATACAATCAATGGCCAGATATTGTTACAGAAATCATATTACAGAAGTCATATCATAACAAAACATATCATATTAACACATATCAAAGTAAATACATCAAAACAAAACATATCATATTATCATATAGCTCTATATGAATGCATCTATATCATATATCTCATACATATCATACAACCTGACCACAGTCCGTACACTATGGCGGAACACAAAGTAGGAGCGAATCCCATAAACATAGAGCTTACCTCTTGGAGCTTTACAATTTGCTTACTTGAAGAACAAGCTACTTATCATGCTACACGAGAATCCAAACGTTCACAGTCCCTAGGTACACCTAGAGAAGGAATTCAACACAAAACTCAATAAAATGATATAATGCCATGTAAATATACAAGACACACACTTTATTGTTTATTTTCTTTTTACTTAATCATATTAAGTCATGAGTGGGTGGTTCTTTGTTCAATAAATCCCCACAAAATTTCACATATTCACTTAGTCTTAGGATAGTCCCAACTTAAGGCAGAATGCCCATTACAATGGAGCTATAAGATTTCTCTTTGTCTAGTGCCTAAACTCAAGCTTAGCCACCTATATAAATTATTTTACGCATATAAGTGTTCTCACTTTGCGAAATAATATCTCCGAACATATACCTCCTTTGAAAATGGCTAAAACTCATTTTAAGGTCATACAAAGGAGCTACCTTATTTTCTTTTTTATTTCACCAAAGCGAAGGTCCATACACCTTAGAATATTATTCCACGCATAAAAGTATGCTCGATTTGTAAAACAGTAACTCATAGCACATACTTCCTTTCTAAATGGCTAAGAGGCACATAAAGGAATTCATGCCAACTTCATGATTCCAATGCTTTAGTCCATCAAATTCCAGCTTATCACACACCTCTAATCCAAGATTCATTAATTCATATATATACGGTACTACGGTACTGTTCATCTCTACAATACTATTCATGTATACGTCACTATTCACGTATACAACACTATTCAAAAATATGGTATCTTTAATTTTTCAGATACATTTTCACCGTTAAAATTCTCGTCTAAACACTTTTCTCAACATGAGTTAAACCTGAATCAAGCTCTAACATGCTCAATCAAACCAAATTTTCAAAATGAAACCCTAAATTTAATCTTCATAAAAACATGAAAAGGAAGGGAATTTCTTACCACAATGCACTCTAAAACAAAGGAGAGATGAGTATCTAAGCTCCATCAAAATCCATTTTTTTCATGAAATTCGAAATCTTTGGAGGAGGAGATCTCTCTCTACAGTGAAACCCACCCAGAAATACTAGTACCAATGGATTCCTCTCAAAATTTCTCACAAGTTTGGCTTTGGAACGAAGTGATTTGGAGGTCTCTAGCTCAAGTTATGAATTTTGGAAGATTTCCATCAAAATCCTTTTTTTTTTCTTCATTTTCATGCTCTCTGTCTCTACCTCCCGTAAGAATGGGAATAGTGACCCCCTAGTCACTTAAGCAAGTTCATTATACCAGCGGGTATAAGTTTATCTATCTACCCACCTCCATTTATTACCAAACTTTACCCAATAGACTAGAATATTTTTCTAGTCGCGTTTCTATTTTATTTTCATTTTTTGGATAACTTTATTTACCCGCATTTTTATCCCTTAACTGTCATTTTAACTCTTTTTTCACCAAAGTTGACTTTATTTCTTTTACTTCTAATTATTCTTCAATATTAAATCCACAATTACTAGTGAGGGTTATTATAAAAATGATTCTTTATATTTCGTTTCTAAATCCGTCCCTAATTCATAATTTTTTAGTAAACATAAGCATGTTTTGAGGATGATGATGATGGCAAATGAGATACTTATGAATATCTCTTGAATCATAACGAGGGACAAGTGCACATAACAATAATAAGAAAAAGAGGAAGAGAAGGGGAAAAAAAAGAGAGAGAATGCAATAAATTGTTGAAAATTGCAACAACACTGTATGATACGATGTGAATAATATTGATCAATTGCAACCCTATGTGTGGAGCCTAAATTATCTGCTGTCATTTGTAAGTTACATATGTAATTGTTGCAATGTAATTGTTGCAATGTAGAGTAAGTGAACCACAAATTTCCTAATAGTGTAGCAAGCAAATTCTCACTATAAGGTTTCGTGAGAGAGGGCAGGGCCTATTTTGAACCAGTTAAAATAGAAGAGTACATAACTACATAGCATATATATATTTTTGTTAGGTTGGTTTAAGAATAAGAAGTTTTACACTTAATATTAACTGTTGATCCACTTACATCTAATAACTCATATATCTAATAAATTAGAGTGTTATATAAAAGGATTAATGACTAAAATAAAAAATGTAATTTATACGGGTATAAAATTATCAATCCCATTTTACATGGAGAACAATCACGTGAATAACAAAAGGAAATATAATATCATGCTTCCATCCCTAATAAATGCCTGAAAAATCTTGAGAAGCCTTTTTCTGCTTGTACCTTTTGGCAGCAACCATGTGGAACATATTTGAGAAGATAAGTCCAGCTAAAAGCAAGAAAAAGTAATCAAGCTGACCCATGTTCAAGTTATCTGGAATCCATCTGTACTGTCCAAGTTGTATGGACAGGTTAAGGGTATTGCCTTGGAGTCTTCTCTGATGGTGGTTGAGGGTTGATGATGGAGGTGCGGTTCCTATTGGTTGTTTCTTGAAACAAAAGTAAAGGTTTTGTAATCTTTTTACAAACATTATGGTTTAAAACACTAAAAAAAGAAATTTTTTTGGTTTGAATAGACTCTACACTTGGGAGAAAGAAAAATCAATTAAGAAATCTACTTGCAGTTAAGAACCATGCATTTGAGGAAAACTCCTATAATAAGCCTTCTTCTGCTTGTACCGTCTAGCATAGACAATGTACACCAACATATTTAAGAAACTGAGTCCAGCTAGAAGCCAGAAAAAGTAGTCAAGGTGGCCCTTGTTCAAATTATCTGTTATCCATCCAGAATTTCCATCCTCGGTTGTAAGGCTATCAACAATCATGAGAATCAAAGAGCTCAGGTAATTCCCCAGTGAATTTGTTAGAAGTGCCAATGCACTGCAGAAACTACGCATGGAATTTGGTGCTTGCTCATAGAAAAACTCATGTTGTCCAACAAATGTGAATACCTCTGCAGCACCAAGCAAGAAATATTGAGGTATCTGCCACAATATACTTAGTGGTACAGGGACATCTTCATCAACCAATCCAAGCTCTTTTGCCATTTGTAATCTCTTACTCTCTAATAAAGCAGCAGCTGACATGCAAATAACGGATAGAAACAGGCCAATTCCCATCCTTTGCAATTGTGAGAAGCCCCTCTCCTTGCCAGTGAATTTCCTTGCAATTGGAACAATCCCTCTATCATAAATGACAACCCAAATAATCACACCAACGATGTCAATAGTTGAAAGAGAGGCTGCAGGAATCGTGAAAGAACCAATAGTTGTGTCCATCATCTTCCCTTGTGCAACAAACAATGAAGACATTTGAGCATAAACAGCACAGAAGATGATTCCTGTTGCCCAGATTGGAAACATGCGGATCAAAATCTTCAACTCTTCCACCTGTGTTACTGTGCAAAGCCTCCATGGATTAGTTACTTCAGCACTCTCTTTTTCAGCATCTAATATCACTGCAGCTTTATCAAGGAACCTGGACAAAAGTAAAGCTTAGGACAGTTTGAAAAAGGCAAAAATTGTATACTGTTGAGAGCTAAATTGTCATTTTCCCCCTACAAAGTACATAATCTAGAACACCTACGAGGATAAGCTGGTTGCCTGGTTCTTTGTCCCAAGGAAAATAAATAATTGAAGGAGTCCAAAACCTAGAAGCATACACAGTATTAATCAACTCAAAACACATCTGCAACTTTATGTATACATTATAGAGCGCCCCCTCTCTTTCCCTTTACCTCTGTCCTTTCCCCCTTTAATGCAAAGTTCTGATTCATTTCTAGATTCACCTAAACTAGGACTACCATAAATAGTTCCTCTACATGTTAAAATGGAAGATATAAGTTTCTCTCTTGATATCTATTTTGGGATGAATATTAAGCAAACAATATTGTGGATTGAGCAGAGGAACACAAGGACAGTACAGTTCAATATTAATATATTTTTGAAGCTATCAGATACCTCAATCCATCGCTATGCTCTAGTTTAACACTTGCTTCGATGGAGGAATCGGTCACTGCTTTTTCATAGAGCAGATAACTGTCTTGGGGAACTTCCAATTTCCAGTTATGTAAAGCTGCTGCAACCACCTGGCAAATTCTTGTAAGAGGACTTCCCCCTGGCCTTTGAAGTCTATAGATAGGTGTACCCAGAAAGAAAACAATGATTCCAATACCAATGAACGCGGAAGCAATGCCATATCCTAGGCCCCATCCAACATTTTCTTCAGTCCATACCAATACAGTGGTTGCTATAAGTGCACCAATGTTACTGGTGAAGTAATTCCAATTAAAGAAGGATCCCTTACTTGCTCTTTCCCTATGATCAGTATCATCAAACTGATCAGCTCCAATGGGCCAAATACATGGCTTGATCCCACCAGTCCCTAGTGCAATCAAATAGAGTCCAAGGAAGAATACAGTATTTTGAGCTAAAGTTGCTGATGGGCAGACAGAATTGACACATTCCTTTGGCTCCAATGAAGGAATGGTTGCTGAAAGGGTCAATATGCAGATTCCCTGTACGAGTTAACCATCATCTAAAACTACAATAACAATTCACCCAAACAAAAACAAAAAAACAAAAAAAAAAAACTAAACTACAATAACAATATAAAAAGATTGAGACAAACAAACAAATAGTTCAGATAACGAATGATATGAGACAACGAGTTAGAGAACTCAAAACAAGGGTTCCCAAACAAAATATGGAAAATTCGACCTTAGAAATTATTGAAAGAAAAGGAGGATATTGGATTTGAACTAAAACATTGTGAGTGAAGTACGACTCTATACCACCGAATTAATGTGGACTTCAACATGAAAAAAATCATAAATCATAGTTTCAGTTGAGTTTACAATGAGATAGATTCCGAAGAACACAACAATTGTCCAATATCTTCCCCAGTAAGCATCAGCAAAGAAAGATCCAACGAGAGGTGTCAGATAGCATGTTCCCTGAAAAGTGGTAACATTTCTTGCTGCAGAAACAAGTCCTTCATGTAGTTTTGTGGTGAGATGAATGACAAGATTACTGGCAATCCCATAATATGCCAAACGCTCACAAAAGAAAGTACCTGCATCATATATAGATTATGTCAAATTCAAAATATACTATTGGATACATTCCACTAGACCAACACTTAGAACAGCTTATCACCTAGAATAAAGGGGCATGCTTTCCACGTCCCAGTTTCCCTCTTGACAGCAAGCTCTCCCTTGATGTTTACTGACCCATCTCCTGTGTGAAGAGAGTCTTCACACTACAAAAAATAAATATATGTAACAATATACATATATAATTGAAATATGTGAAAGTAGCACAGTAACTTACTCCAACAGTGATAACTCAAATGAGTTAGATTATGCTGAGTAGAGGAAAATAAAAAGAAGCAGGGGAATATAATACAGGAGCTGAATTATACAAATTTGTGTCAACTTTCTACAAGATGGATTAGCTTTGTGATGGGGAGGTTATGGATTTGAATCCAGAAAACCACCTCTTTTCAGAAAATAGAAGGATAAGATTGCGTATAAGAATTTCCATCACCCCTACCCTCCCAAGTCAGGGTTTCATGGGAGTGGCTTTGTCTATAAAAGGGATTGAACTAAATCTTATACGACCATGATGTGTTAAGTCCTTCAGTGCTTCAATTAACTACAAACTAGCATAAAAGACCACACAAAAGTTTTTATTTTTACTTTTTGGTTATTGAAAGGATTAAAAATACGGGACCTTTCTTTTTAACTTTGTAAGAGAAATTAAATTTCAATATGATAATTAAAACAAATTTCATGCCATATATAATATACAGATGACATAATTACATATGCTAAGGAAGAACCTGCAGAAGACCACCTTCCAGAAGTGATCTGGGTTCATCCAAATTTTCCATTATTGTGCTCTACTCTCTCAGCATGCTAAGAGATTTGAGAGTATAAAGGTTGGTGGAGTCAAATTTTTAAAGTTTTAGGAGAGAGCCCGTCATTATCAGCATTCTATTTTTATAATCATATTACCTACAAAGAATGGTAGGTTAAAAGTTGAAACCTGCCATTCTAAAATCTCTTTGGTGAGTTTGAAAAGGGGCTGACAGTACTTGTCAACTTCACATTCGTGGCCTCAAAACGTTTCGTATGTTAATTTTGCATTGGATGTCAGAGTCAATTCTTGCGTATAGTTAATGTCCTAAAATTAGGAGAATCGATAATTGAGGTTATTGAAGGCTTGTTTCACAGCATTTTAGACCATTGGATGTACCTCTGTATCTAAGAAAACGACCTAAACTAACAAGTATACAAAAGTATTCGTCCAACCATTTCAAGCTTATCCGTGGTCCCGAAATCTTAGAGCATAGCTACTAATTGAATGGTAAGATAAACTGCCACGTTATAGAGAAGCTTTAAAACTGTTTAGTGAGTGAATAGTGGAATACCCCAAAGCATAGAGGACAACATTCATGGATATTGATTGTAAATTTTATGTAGTGTTATTTTTAGTAGCTAAAGGCATATTGAGAACCATGCTCATAAGGTCTTGATGAACTGTGTTGCTCAATAGTAGCCAACATGCGGGAAAAAAAACGTGGCAAATTGGTTCTACTCACAATTTGCATTTTTATGTTATCCGTTAACCTTTTTAATATCACAAGTGTATATGTTTGATGACTTGTGCTATGCTGATGAGCTACTTTTCTCCCAGTAGGTCATTCTCCATGCTTTTTGTTCTCGTTAATCAACCAGATGATCCTAAACGATAGAGCACATGAACAATCAAGCTTTATATGGAGCCTAAATAATCTGATGTCATTTATAATTACAAATGTAATTGTTGCAATATAGAGAAAGTGAACATTAAAGTCAGTGCCAACAAATTACCTAATTGTGTAGCAAGTTCTCACTGTGAGGCTTTGTGGGACAAGACATGGCTTGTTTTGAGTCAGTTAAGTGGAAGAGGAGTAAACAACCATGTAACATGGAAATAGATACTCTTATGTCTCTTTCTAACATAACCAAGCTATCTGACTCTCATGTCTCTTTCAAAGATGACCACGTTATGTGCGTGATCATTAATTTCACATAATATGATCATGTTAAAAGGAAACATGAGAGGATCCATTTCCATATAGCATATATATTTCACATGCAAAAGAATCACAAAAATGATAGAAGTAAATATAAGAACATGCTTCCATTCCTAAAAAATCTTAAGACCATAGTCGTCAGTAGCAGTTAGCGGCCGACCCCGAAAATAGTATAGCGGTGTAGCAGGTAGCAGTATTGCTGCTACGGTGAAGTATTAATTCCACAAATATTATACTAACAGTCAAGAAACAAGGCAATACCGCTTTTAATATTAATGCTCAAACATAAGAAGCCACACAAAATCAAACACATAATTCCACAATCAATGTCAAATACAAGGAACATAAAGGAAGGATCCAAAACTAAACACAAATGAACAATAAAATTGTCAAATAGTCAAGTACAAGAAGCGAACTAATGAAGAAAATCATTATCATCTCCGGATTCTCCATCAAATTCTAACATGGGAGTGGTGTAGCGGTGTAGCGAGTAGCGGTATTGCCGCTACGCTACACTGCTACCTTCCGCTACGACCAATGTCGCGTAGCGTCGCGGTTTGTAGCGGCCGACCGCCGCTACCCGCTATGGTAGCGGTTTAGCAGCGTTACGGGCCGCTACTGACAACCTAGCTTAAGACGTCTTTTTCTGCTTGAACATTTTGGCAGCAACTATGAAAAACAACATATTTAAGAAGCCAAGTCCAGCTAAAAGCCAGAAAAAGTAATCGAGATGACCCATGTTCAAGTTATCTGGAATCCATCCAGGATTTCCACCTTGTGTGGTGAAGTAAGTTACAATAGTAAGAATGAAAGAACTCAGGTAATTCCCCAATGAAAAATTCAGGAGTGGCAGTGCAGTAAATAAACTCCGCATAGCATCTGGAGCTTGCTCATAAAATAACTCATACTGCCCAATGAATGTGAATACCTCTGATGCACCTAATAAGACATATTGAGGTATTTGCCAGAATACAGTAAGGGGTACAGGAACAGGTTTATCAACAAGGTCAAGCTCTCTTGCAAGCTGCAGACGCATGATCTCTGCTACAGCAGCTGCTGACATGCACAGGACAGAAATAAAATGGCCAATTCCCATTCTTTGATACACTGAAAATCCCCTTTCATTGCCTGTAAATTTCCTTGCAATGGGAACAATTATCCTGTCATAGATGGGGACCCACAAAATAACACTTGTTACATCAAAAGTTGAGAGGGAAGCTGCGGGTATTTTGAAGGAACCAATACTCGTGTTCATCATAGTTCCTTGTTCCACAAACAATGTTGACATCTGGGCATAAACAGCAGAAAAAACAATTCCAGTAGCCCAAATTGGGAACATGCGAATCAAGATTTTCAATTCCTCCACCTGTGTCACGGTGCAAACTCTCCATGGATTAGAATAGTCACCGTTTTTCATCTCTGATTCAGATACTATAGCTGCTCTATCGAGATACCTTCATTAAAACAAAAAAGAAAAGGAGTTTTATAAAGTTCTGAGCAGGAAGCCTGTTTGTAGTTGACATATGAAAAAGAAAAAGGCACAAGCATTCTGAAGCAGATGAGGATACTTCAGCCATTATCTTTGGAAGAAAACTTGAATGATAAAAATCTCAAGAAAAACAAATTTTAGCAGAGGATTTATTAATGCAATAGACAGTCGAAAAGAAAAATGTTTCATGCAAGCTATCCTACAAAACTGTCAAAAGACAGCAATGTTCTTACTCACTTGTCTAATCATATAACTAATTAGCCAACAATGGTAGAACACAGTACATGATACGCAATGAGCAGTCTTCAGCATTAAAGTATATGCTTTCACTTCAAATGCTTACACAGTGACAAACTTATAGGCAAAGTGAAGTGAAAAGCAGAAATTTTTTTCCCTATGCATGTAGATCTCAAAACCAATGTTATTCATGCATAAATTAGCATTAATAATTTTTTAGGGCATACTAAGCAATTTTTCCTTCCTTCTGTTTTAAGGCCTCATTTGGCATCCTGATTATGATAGAAATCATTGGATAGCATGTGATTGTTGATGAAGGGATAAAATTGAATATGGTGTTTTTTCAATTACTTGGCGATAATTATTACAATACAAATAGTGAACAACACAATTGCACAAATGTGGGTGAAGCACACCTGGGAATAAATTTGAATTATAGAACTCGAGATATGTGGGCGAAGGTGATGAAGACATATATGGGGAAGGTATAACGGGGTAGGCTAGGGATAATATTGCTCAATTTATCTGGAAACCTATCCTTCTGGCTGCTTTACATAATTAATCTGCACATCTGGGCTTGGATAAAAAGTATGCTTTCTGCAATCAAACTAAAAGAAAAAATGTTGGGAAGAACACCAATTAGAGGAAAAAGCTTCTTTTGTTCTTTTCTTGGGCTAGGTGACGTATAAACGACCTTGATTACACAGCCTTCACATTCTGAAATATTGCAGCTGACTAAGGCTAATTTTTTTCCCCAATAGCGTGTCTTCTTCTAGTCTAAATTTTTATCAACTAAAATAGAGATATTGTATATAACCTCATGTACTATGTCCAATGTCTGTCAATAAAGATACTACAAACAAATATTAATTAGAATAATAATCGTAAGTGTTCTGGCATATGCTGAAAATCTTATTCTGCTATACTACTCTTCCCATTTTTAAAAGATTAAAATAATATTTTGGTCCACATAGATTATAAGCATTTGAATTTTGGTACTCATAGTTTATTATATAGATTTTATGCATGAGTTTTGGTCCTTGGCTTGTAGTTTATCTTTAACTTATCGATTCCTATATTTTCACTCATTTAAGTTTTGGTCCTTATTGTTAAGGTAGTAGTCCCTATATTTTTTACTCAACAGTCATTTAGGTTTTGATCCTTATAATTTCTACTCATTAAGATGTTGGTTCCTATTTTTCATGAAGGATTGATTGCTTTAGTTTCTATTCATTCAGGTATTGGTCGTTGAAGGACTAAAACCCAAATGAGTACATAGGGACCGATAACCAAAAAAATAAATTATAGACCAAAACCCAAATGAGAGGAAACAATAAGAATCAAAATCTTTTTCAAAACTTTTAAATCAAGAGATTATCATGTAATATTCCAATCATCCCTTATTAATAAAAAATTTAACATTCTCAAAATTTAAAATAAAATGTACTAAACCTGATCTTCCTTCCTTTTCAAACTCTTCTATCTAAACATGGGGCCAAAACAATGGAAAATATTCTTAATGGAATATGTTTATGAGACAATATCCCACAATTTCTTTGTGATCGAATAGCAGAGATAGTTGTGCCTCTCCCCTCTGTTATGGAATTGACCAACCACCTCATTACCATTGAGTTTTCAATATCACAAGTGAAGAAGGTACGGGTTGGGTCTTCCGCCGCAGTATCTCTAGTAAGATACCCGATTTTTCATTTCCCCCTATACACATACGAACTAATTGTAACCAACAAAGAAAATTGACTCCATTCAGCCATATTGATGTGGTTTCGATGGACTGGCATCACTAGGGATAGTTGAGGTTTGTAATCGGAGGAGGCAAAAGGGCTAAGACACGGGACTTTAGATATTTTTTTCTCAGATAGGAAAAGTTATGGTTTTAGGATTTATTTACATGGGATAGGATATTGTTACTACCAATCTCATTATCATATCTTAACCATTGATTTTTGTCAATCAACGGTTATTATTTCTACAAATCAAACTCATTAATTAATTATTAATTCATAATAAATAATAATCATAGATTGACGGAAATTAACGATTAAAATATGATAGTAACATTAATAGTAACAATATCCAACCACGTGGGTGGACGTGATGGTTTAGCATCTCGTCCCTTAAGCAAGTGGTTGAGGGTTCGAACCCCAACTGTTGTGAATGGAAAGCATTCTGTGACCAGCTCTTTACTGCTTAGTGCGCTGACTCGGAGCGAGGGATTAGTCTCATGGCTATCGGCTGTGGGAATACCCAGATGTAATCCAAAAAAAAAAATAGTAACAATATCCTATCCCTGATACAAAAAAGAAGAAGAAAGGGATTTTGGGAATAATTGATTTGCATTATTTACACAATTTACATACGCACCATTCTAGTAACAAAACAAAAAAGTAAATCATCCCATAAAATTACATCATCCCATAATAAGTGAAATCCTATATCTTTATAATATAGGCAAAAACTACATCATCCCATAAAATTCTCAACTCCTTAAAATATGGGATATAATACAATAAAATAATACTCTACAAGATTATTGTAAATAATATTGTATTATTATTTAGATGGGAAAACCGTTTGTACTTTTAAATAATATAATTTTATGTCATTTTATATCGTAACCGTTGATTTCCGTCAATCAACAGTTAGGATTTAGAGGTCGTTTGTTTCAGCTTTTAGAAAAAGTAACTTTTATCACTTCCTTATTTTAAAAGTACTTTTTACAAAAGTTAAAACTATTTATATTTTTATAAAAATATTTAGTTTTTGAAAAAAAATATTTGGCTTTTGACTTCTGCTTTTTTTAGAAGTTAAAATTTTTAGCTTCTGAAAAAAGTAGGTTTTTGACTTTTTTTGTGACTTCTCCTTTTTTTAAAAGGAGACATCCAAACGAACCAAAAACGAGAAGTGCTTTTTTTCTTAAAAAAAAGCAGCTTTTGAAGAGAAAAAAAGCTCATCCAAACGGACCCTTATTGAATCAAATTTATTAATTAATTATTAATTCGCAATAAAATCCAATAAATCATAACTTTGATTGACGGAAATCAACGATTAGGATATAAAATGACACAAAGTTACATCCTTTAAAAGCACAAAAGTTTTTCCCTATTTGTATTAGTATTTTTATTTAGATTATTTTAGAAGCTTCTTTGAGCTTAGCCCATTAGGCCATTTAATCTCTTTAAATAGAGAGCTCTTGCACAGTTATTTACATAATTCAAAAATACAATCTTTCTTTTCAAGTTGGTATCAAAGCTCTCAACTCTGAAGGCATTGCTTCTGCAACCGTTGTCGGAAAATTTCCCGGGGATCTTTAGGACCGAGAAGACTATCGTCTGACCTGTTTTTTTTTTCCGATATCTTTCGTTCTACGGTGGTTTTGTGACCAACCGTAGCCCCTAACCCCTTGAAAATTTCTCAACCACACCTGCAGTTTTCGGCTGCCCACTTTTCTTGCCGTTTTTCACCTTCGACCACCCACAGACATTATCTCCTCAGATCAGCCATCCCTTAAAAGCCCACCATCACCGGAGCTCACACGCGCACCCTTCCTTCTCTGCGCGTGGGCCTCATGCGCCGTCACTCTCACCGGCACGTGCAGGGGTGATTCTGCCTTAGGTCACCGACGTTTAGATTTTCTTGACTTCTACTTTTTGGATGTGTGGTTTTTTGGAGATTGGATAATGTTTGGTTAGTGCCCTTTGTTTTTCCCTCAAAAGTTGTATTTTTTTGGCTTTTTCGGACAAATTTGACCCTGTTGCTTTTGTTTGGACTCAAACCAAAAGTTTTTTGTTGTTTGGGCTCTCCGGAGACTATTGTGACTTCATTGGTAATTATCAATTTCTTTTGTGTTCTCTTTGATTTGTTTTTGTCCATGGGACGTTGGTGCACCTATTGTAGGAGTGCTGAACACACAAGAGGCATGTGTTTTCGTCTTCATGGAAAGTGTGATAATGCTACTCCATATGTGAATATTCAGCAAGAGGAGTTAGAGCAGCTTAAGGCCGCTATTGATACTCTACGTAAGCTATCTGATAGTTCTTTGATCTTGTATAGTAAGAATACATGTTCTACATCTCTTTTTGCTTCTTGCACTGATTTTAAAACCTCATGAATTTTGGATTCTAGTGCAACTAATCATATGACTTGTCTTGCTGAGTCTTTTCTTTCTTATCATCCTACTGTTGGTAGTAATACTATAGCCGTAGCTGATGAATTCCATTAATCAGTTATTGGTTCTGGTAACATTCAAATTCAACATTCCTTGTTTCTTAAAAATGTTCTGTGTGTTCCTCAGCTTTCCACTAATCTTATCTCCACTCGTAAGCTTACAACTGATTTGAATTGTTTTATCACATTTTCCCTTTCTCATTTTGTTATTCAGGATCTCACCATGAGGAAGACAATTGGAGTTGTTGAGGAGCAAAGTGGGTTGTATTATCTCCTTCCAGAGCATGCTACAAATGATACAAAAAATCAGTTATTGATGACACGTCATCCTTCTACTGCAGAATCTATGATTTGGCTCCATCACCAGCGTCTAGGGCACCCACCATTTAGTCTATTGAAGTCAATGTTTCCTTCTCTGTTTCTAAATGAGTCAGTTGAGATCTTTCATTGCGATGTTTGCGAATTTGCAAAACACCATCGAGTGTCTTTTCCTTCTAGCGCTATCAAAAGGATTGAACCTTTTTTCTCTTATTCATTCTGATGTTTGGGCCCTTCAAAAGGGTATAGTGTTTCAGGTGCAAAGTAGTTTGTTTCTTTGTTTATGATTGTACTCGGGTGACATGGATATTCTTAATGAAAGACAAGTTTGAAGTACGAGAGATATTTATACGATTTTATCATATGGTCAAGACTCAGTTTGGTAAAAATATTAAAAGATTAAGATCAGATAATGGTACTGAGTACATCAACCAACCTCTGTCGCAATTCTTTTAAGACAAAGGTATGACTCGTGAACTCATGTGTTCATACCCCTCAACAAAATAGGGTTATAGAAAGAAAAAATCGTCACCTTCTTTAAGTCACTAGAGCATTACTTTTCCAGACATCTATTTCTAGTTCTTATTGGGAAGAAGCTGAATTAGTTGCAGCTTTTTTTATCAACCATTTACCTTCACGGGTCCTTAACAATACCTGTCGTATTCATTCCATGACTTCCTTCTTTCCTTCTATTTTCATTATGCAGAGTCTTCAACCACGAGTGTTTGGGTGTGATACCTTTGTCTATATTCATAAACAACATCGCAGTAAGTTGGATCCTAGGGCTCTTAAGTATATCTTCCTTGGTTATGCCCCTGATAAAAAAGGCTACAAGTGTTATCATTATCCAAGTCAAAAAAATTTTGTTTCTATAGATGTCACCTTTTATGAATTTGAGTCCTTTTTCCCGGGTCCTCGTCTTCGGGGGGGAGAGCAGTTCTTCAGAAGACTCGTCCCCTTCCTTCTTTGTGTCTGAGTCATCCTTGTCTACTCCTACACCTCTCCCTCTTGTGTCTACTCCTGGTGTGTCAGAACCTTCAAATACACTTGAGATACGAAAGATTTTGACACCTGAATTGGTATATCAGAGTAGGAAACAACCCATATTGCTACACCAACAACCTCAATCGTCTGAATCACTGGTAAGTCCTGAATCTCTTGTTTCTAAACATAATATTATTGCCTCTGATGACTTACCCATTGCTTCTGATAACTTATCTAGTGTCTCTAATGAGTTACCCTTTGCCTTAAGAAAAAGAAAAAGATTTTGCACCCAACACCCTATCTCTCAATTTGTTTCTTCCACTAAACTTTCTATGCAACACAAAAGCTTTATGTCAGCACTAGATTCCATTTCCATCCCAAAATTAGTTCACGAAGCATTAAAAGATGAGAACTGGGTTCAGGCCATGCAAGATGAGATAAATGCCTTGGTGAAGAATAAAATATGGGAGATTGTTGATAAACCCAATAGAAAGAAAGCAGTAGAGTGCAGATGAGTTTATGCTCTAAAGTACAATTCTTATGGTACTCTTGAGAGATATAAGGCTCGGTTAGTAGCCAAGGGTTACACTCAGACCTATGGTATTGATTATGAAGAAACTTTTGCTCCAGTTGCAAAGATGATATTGTGTGAGCCTTGTTATCCTTTGCTGCTCATTAGAATTGCGATATAAATCAATTTGATGTGAAGAATATTTTTCTTAATAGTGAGTTAGAAGAAGCGGTTTACATGGAAATCCCGCCAAGATTTGACTCTATTGATGGAAACGATAAAGTTTGTAGGTTAAAAAATGCTTTGTATAGCTTAAAGCAGTCCCCTTGTGCTTGGTGAGATTTACTGAAGTTATAATGACCTTAGGGCAAAAATAGAGTCAAATAGATCACATATTTTTTTTTAAACACTCTCAAGCTGGGAGCTCATTGTACTCCTTATGTATGTTCATGACATTGTTATAACCAGTGATGATAGTGTGGAGAAACGTGTTTTACAAGTACAACTAGCCTCTAAATTGATATTAAGGACCTTGGGAGATTCAAGTATTTCCTAAAGATAGAGGCAACTCATTCAAAGAAAGGAATCTTTATCAGTTAGAGGAAATATGTTCTTGATCTTCTTAAAAAGGCAGAAAAACTTGAGTGTAAACCTTCTAGTATTCCTATTGAGCAAAATCACAAGATGAGATATAAAGAAGAGAATCCTCCAGTTGATAAAGGGGAATATAAACGGTTAGTTGGGCGATTGATATATCTAGCTCATACTAGACCAGATTTAGTTTAAGCTGTTAGTATTGTCTGTCAATTCATGCATAATCCGAAAGTAAAACACATGCAGACAGTGGAAAGAATTCTTCAGTATCTTTAAGCTACTTCTAACAAAGGACTACTATTTCGACGTGATAGAAATCTTTCCTTAGAAGTTTACGCTAATGATGATTATGCTAGGTCAGTGACTGACCTTCGATCTACCACTGGTTATTGTATGTTTCTTTGTGGTAATTTAGTGACATAGAGAAGTAAGAAACAAGATGTGATTGCTAGGTCAATTGTAGAGGCAGAGTTTCGAGCGATGGCCAAAGGTATTTGTGAATTGTTATGGTTAAAAATTATACTTGATAATCACCAGATAAAATGTGAAGGACCTAGGAAGCTACTTTGTGATAATAAGTGTGGCATCTGTATAGCTCATAATCCAGTCCAACATGGTCGGACTAAGCATATTGAGGTCGACCGTCATTTCATTAAAGAGAAACTTGATAGCGAGTTGATCTCTACTCCATATATTCCCTCAAGCATCAATTAGCTGATGTTTTGATAAAAGTACTCTCCACAAATAGATTTCAAGACCTTACTAACAAGTTAAGAATGATAAATATCTATTCCTCAACTTGAGGGGGAGTGTTGTAAATAATATTGCGTTATTGTTTAGATTAAAATTTTATTATTTAGATTATTCTAGAAACTTCTTTGGGCTTAATCTATTAGGTCATTTAGTCTCTTTAAATAGAGAGCTCTTGTACAGTTATTTACATAATTCAATAATACAATCTTTCTTTTCAAGTAAGACTAGCCTTCGAGAATCTTTAACATTATATTGTGACAATGAAGGAAGCTAATGACACTGACGGAAAACTCAAAGTAAAAACAATTACCTCAGATCATCTCTATGCTCCAGTTTGCGACTCCCTTTAATTGCTGATGTATTGTTTGGAGTCTCATACAGGAGACTACTATCCTCAGGGACTACCAGATTTCGCTTCCGGACAGATGCTAACACAACCTGGCAGATTCTTGTAATAGGGCTTCCCCCTGGTTTTTGAAACCTGTATAGAGGTGTGCCTAAACAGAAACTTCCAACAGATAATCCCATAATTAAAGCAGGAATGCCAAATCCAAGACCCCATCCTGCATTGTCTTGAATCCACACAATTAAGCTGCATGATACAACGGCACCTAAGTCGATAGAAAAGTAATACCAGTTGAAAAAGGATGCCTTCTTAACCCTTTCCTTGGGATCAGTATCATCAAACTGATCTGCCCCAAAAGGTGACACACATGCTTTTACACCACCGGTTCCAAGTGCAATAACGTAGAGACCAAAGTACAACACAGCATATTGTGCAGTAGTAGTTGGAGGGCATTCAGAACCCAAACATTCAGCAGGCTTCAATGCTGGAACAGATGCAGAAAGAGTCAAGGCACACATCCCCTGCATGAAACAACCATATCACATATTACAACGTGTAAAGACAAATAAACAACAATGCATATATGCTGATAAAAAACAGAACCAGTCAACAATCACATGCCCATATTGTTCATTTCTCATGACTGACGTACTACTGGACAAAAAAAAAATCCTAATAGAAGATATAAGCACTTTTTTTATAATGACTGTTAAGGGAGAGATTTGTACGGAGAAATATTTGAGTAGGAGAAGAAAGCTATCTTAGTCTATTACAATGAAATAAATCGTAGAGAAAATAGCAATTGTCCAGTATCGTCCCCAGTAACCATCTGCTAGAACAGCTCCAATGAGAGGAGTAAGATAACAAGTGCCTTGCCAGATGCTGACATTTCTTGCAGCAGAGAGATTTCCTTCATGTAGCTTGGTGGTAAGATAGGTAACAAGATTTGTTGCAATGCCGAAGAAAGCCAAACGTTCACAACATTCATTGCCTGTGATTTGTATGCATAAAAATGATATAAACAAAAATGGATTACTTAATATATAAGAACAATGTAAAAGCAAACCTAGGATAAAGGGACAAGCTCTCCAATTTCCCGTATTCTGCTTAAGAGCAGGCCTGCCTCTGAAGTCAACTGTGCCATCTCCTGTGTATTCTTTGCTACCTTCATCCTTTAGAAAAAAAAAATAATAATCATATCACATAGCAAAACAACATTTTTTTATTTTTTTATTTTTTTCCTAAGGGTTCAAACGTGGAAGAAACAAAAAAAGGCAATAACAATCGGAAACATTTCCTTTTTTTCTCTAATATTGATTAAAAAAAAAGGGGTAATTTTGTTTTGCTGACAATAAAGCAAATATGAGAAAATCACAAAGTAGATCTCACAGATTGACATTAAAAACAGAGTTCTGGATAATATATGTGAATGTTAGCCTTAAAATCAAAGGCCAAAGAGTAAAGTGAAAGGCATAGCAATCATTTACATGAAATCATACACAGAATCATTCTATATTAACTTTTTCCAAGAATAGCTTGAATTGATCCCTCTCACAGTCCAATTTATCTCTTCATTATCAGAGTTGAAGAAGTATCCTTCACGAATTCATCTTCCACTTATTTCTATTTTAAAAATATGCAAACAATTATGATTTGGGGATGCTAGCAAACTACATATCATAAAACGTAACCTGTTTGGTATTAGTATGTTGGTATAAAACGAAATGTTGGAATTTTGGGTGAAACACAGTTGAATTTCGTTATTATATATGAATATGTTTATGACATGTCTTGTTGTATACAAGTAACCAGCATCCCAACAAGAAAGAAATTTTTCCAAATAAGAAAACTTAACAAGATTATGGAGAATGAAAAAATGGAGCGAAGGGAACCTGAAGAAGACCCTCCTCTTCCACAAGCCGTGCATCATCATCGTTCATAGAACCCATCTCTGTCTCTCTCTCTCTCTCCAACATGAGCGAGAGAAATAAAGAAAATAGTGCAATTTTTGAAGAATATTCAGATATTTTTCGAAAGCGTAAAAACCTACACATAATATAGTCAGATAATCTCAGATACGTGTGTTGTAGTGATTGGTCAATAAGTATTCTCTTCTCCTTTAAGTTAGCAACCGAAAGTTCAGTTTGTTGTGGGAAACTCAAATAATAAAAAGAGGAACATCCGTGCACGCATTACCTTACCTTGTTAGTGTTACCACGTAATCTTAATTGTTTCTACAATTAGATTCATGGTATTGCTTATATCATGGGAGATGATTGTATTTTGACCCTTATTATCTTCTTTTTTATCACTATGGATTATATTTAAATCAATGATTCCAATATTTTTTATTTTATTTATTTCTTCCTTATTTTTCCTCAACTAATTATTTATTACCATTGATTTAAATATAATTAACGGTAATAAAATTGTAGTAAAGATAAAAAAAAATTAAATAGATAAATAATATAAGGAAAAGTGTTTGTAATATTTTAAAAATAATAATAAATAAATAAAATAGAAAATATCTTAGATATTTAGATAAAATATCTTAGATATTTATAAAAGTAATGATTAAATTCCTTATATTTTTATAAACGTAATGGTTAAGATTCCTTAGATATTTATAAAAGTAATGATTAGATTCCTTAGATATTTATAAATGTAATGATTAAGATTCCTTAGATATTTATAAATGTAATGATTAGATAAGCAACTCATTCTCTCCTTTATTTTTTAAAGTTGATTTTTAGATATTTTAAAAAGCTATGTTGGTTCTGTTTTTATATGTCATGTTGGAAGTTGGTATTTTAAAGTTATTTCTTTAAAAGTTGCGAATATGCCGTTACTCTGCCAAAATTATTTTATGAATTCTTTCTGCTCTTTTAATTTATTTTTATATTTGGCTTTGTGAATTTGATGAAATTATTAATATTAATTATTAGAATGATGAATAACAAGATTATAGAACTAAAAGATTGGACAGTAACAGAATATGTACTTTTTTACTGAATGATTCTGATGTAGCTGACCCACAAGGGGATCAGAATGATTATAGGATAAGGGACGTCTTATCATGGCTTGAGCTCCGCCATACATAACCTTTCACATACAGAACCCACATAATTTCGACGCTCACAGAATTGAGTATTAGTCATTTCAGTTAAAGATTACACGTTCCTATATATGTTTGTATACAGAAACCCACAAAGTTTGGGTAGAACCCACAAATGTTTGGGTATGACTAAATGAAGAACCCACAAAGGTCTGGGCTTATATTTATTGTTTATGATATTATTTTCTTGTTATAAATTTACTTTGTGAGAATGACATTTTCCACTAAAGTGGCTGGATCGGTTATAGTTCGAAAATCCCAATATTACTGAGATTTATCTCACGTGTGTTTATTTTTATCCTAACCTTTTCAGAGTAAACAGATCAGTATATGTAGCTTTGGAGTAGGATAAAGCACTATGGCTAAAAACTTTGAAGACTATATGGAGCTTAGTGGAGCAAATTAATAGAAAGAAAATGTTTCTTTTTAGTTTAGATTATGATGTATTCCTGATGTAATAGTGAACTTGACTTTTGTATAATTAAATTTTAAAAATATTTTATGATATGTCTTATTTCATATCCGCTGCGTTAGAATTTCACTTAAGAATTAATGTGATATCCTCTATCCTAGTCAGTTGTAGAGGATGTTACATTGTTTGTCCTCTTGAATGACACAATTTATGTCATTTCACTATCATAAAAAGGTGGGATTCACACTTTTTTTTTGTTCATTCTCTCTCCCTTATGATCTATATCTTTCTCTCACTTAAAATGACATAATTTTACATCATTTAAAATAATACACATTTTTTCCATGATATAATCGTTCCATGTATTATATACATCAACTCACTAATTTTAGTATCAATGAGGAAATAGATTTTTCTTTCTTTGAAAGTGAAAGGTATTTGAAGGTGACGCATGCATTATGGGCTTTTATGAGATAACCCCACAAGTCCCCCATGTGGAAAAAGGGAAATCATTTTCTTATGTAATAGGAGATAGTTTTCTCATGTTGTGAGACATCGAAATTCGTGCTATCTTTTTAGTTTTTCTTCTTTTTTAGTAAGTGGTGGGCCCCACCATTTATTGTGTCTATGACATGAGAGATGATATCTCATGTGACATGAGAAAAGAGAAGCCCGTGGAAAAAAATTTCACGCAGCATATATACTCAATTGGGTATTTTTTTTTTAAATAAAGAAAAAAATTTCCATTTAAATTCAGATTTTTATTTGTATTTCAATTTAAGTTCCAAAAAAAATTTCTTATTGATTTGGATGTATTTATATATGTAGTACTGAAAAAATGTTTCAACAGTACAGTTCCTACAATAAAGAAAAAAATTTGATTGTCCACCACTCTCTAAAGTGACAAAATGGAACTCGACCGGGTGGGTTGAGTTTGATAACTCGTCAGTCCATTTTTTTATTTTTTTTTTACTTTACACCTAATCTAACTTAACTTTGCCTTACGTGTTAACTTTTTTAATTTATTTTTCTCAAATCAGCTCTCAAATCTTTTATTTATTAGAATTGACATATTTATTCATGAAATCATTCAAAAAGATGTAGCCATAATATGCACTTATTGAGGATTTTTTAGTGAATAATGTTGTCAATAATGGTACTTTACTATGACTAATATTTTTTATATTGCGTAGAAGTTTGTACAAATAATAATAACATTTTTAAATCTATCAGAAAAGTTCAATACATAAAATTGACAGGTCGGACTTATATGCAGGGCGAAACTAGAAAGGTTTAAAAGTTTTCATTTTAAATTATTTCTTACCATTGTAAAAATATATAGGTCCAATGTTTTTTTCTCTTTTTTTCTTACATATCCCTACGTGGATAATGTAATATGAGAAACTTTAAAATCTTTATTAAATGTATTACTAAAAATATTATTTGAATTAACAGATATTAACTGTCCTTATAAATATTGCCTTGTGAGGAATTGGAGTATGGGCACGGGCAGTGCACCACCGTGGGGAACAGTGATCAAAGTGTTATTGTTGACAAAAAAATTTATCAAACTACCACATCAATAATAAATTTTGTCAAAATGTCACGTGGTATATTTCGCTACACTGTGTAGCGAAATATGCGTGCAAATAATTCGCTACACAGTGTAGCGAAATATGCCACGTCAGAATGTTCAGAACCAAATTCGCTACATGGTGTAGCGAATTTCTCCAATTTTGACACATGGCATTTTTGGTTCTGAGCATTCTGACGTGGCATATTTCGCTACACTGTGTAGCGAATTATTTGTACACATATTTTGCTACACAGTGTAGCGAAATATGCCACGTGGTATTTTGGCAAAATTTACTATTTGCGTGGTAGTTTGATAATTTTTTTTGCCAACAATGACAAAATGGTCACTGTTCCCACTATGGCGGTACCAAAATATACATAAGTATTTACTTATTATTTTTAATAAATATAGATTTAGGGCAAATTTAGAGTGTTTCGCATAATATTTTTTAAGTCAAAAATTACTTTTAAGCTAGAAGTTATTTATAAGTTAAAGTTAAAAAAAAAATTAAAAAAAGTTAAAAATTATTTGGGGTTTATATAAAAAAAAATTAGAAGTTACAAACACATATTTCAAGGAAACTCTTTTTCTCTCTCTATCTCTATAGTTCTTCATTTAAAAAAAGCACACAATTCAAGAAAAGTTGATGATAAGAACTTAAATAGATAAATTAGTGCTTGGCCATCAGTGCTCAAGGGATCGACAACTTATTTTACCACTTTATTACTTGTACGACTGTACTTGCCGAAGTCGCAACAAGTTTTTGGCGCCGTGATGATAATATTTTATGTATTTAACTAATGACTAAGCACTAATTTATCTATTTAACTAAAGTTGGATCGATCGTGAAAAGTTGGTTTGAGAATATTTTAATTTAATTAAAACAGAATTTTTAAACTAATTATTTTTGGTTTTTAATATTTAGGAAATTAAATTCAGAATCAATAAATGCTAGAAAATTGGATTTAAGTTTTATAAAATACGTAGCTAGGATTTAACTTCACTAATGGTTTTCAAACTAGTTTACCTATTATTCTAATTACATTCAAGATCCAGTTATTAACAGTTCTTTCTATATTCGATTAAATATCAATCCCTTGGTAATCCAATCCTTTACTCCACTCAAAAGCCTAATCCCTTAGTACTTTTTCATAAAGTAAGCATTAACACAAGAACATTAAGTTATATAATTCATAAGTATATCCCTAGATCATACAAATTCCAGCAATCAACCAATCGGAATCGATACACCAACATCCCTATTGTCATGCATGACTCATATGTTTATCTATGAGTGATCAGTTCATAAGTAAAACTAATAAATAAGAAACAAATTGATTGCATAACTTTAAATCATGAATATAAATTATAAGAAAGGCAAACAGCGTTCAAGAACCAATTGGTTCCGTCTCGCCCTAACTACTTAAAGAAAATTAGTCTAACATAGTCAGAAAAACGAGAACAATAGATGAAAAGAAACTATAATTCATAAAAGAAATATAAACCCCGGTCTCCACGATGAAGCTTTGACCGTTCCTCCGTTCCTCTACCTTCTGAATGCGCTCATCTTCCTCCTTTTCTGAATAATTCTTCACGGCTTTAATCGTGTTCTATTTAAAGGCTTAAAATTGGGCCTTTAATTTTGGGTCAGCTTGCTGAACAAGAATTAATATTGATTAATTCTTTATTTTTCTTGATATTTATCCTTTGCAACTTCCTTTATCCCTTAGGATTGGTGATTTGTTACTTTAAACCTGAAACAACATGAAACAATACGAAAAGGGATTAGAATCTTATCCAGTTGTTGGTATTTTAATATCTTTTAAATTTTATTAACTAACACTCCATTTTTTAATCATATTAATTATTATTTGAACTATATTTGACATTAAAAACATAGT